CCAGCTCGATATCCAGCGAGAATTTCTGCAGCTCACGCAGCTCCAGCTGGCGCCATGGCACCAACTCTTCGACGCCGGCGCCGCAGTCCAATTGCAGCATGCCGCTGAAGCTGATGGAGCCGGGACAGGGGCATACGCACGGCAGGCGCAGGCACTCGGCTTGGCTGATCACACGGAAGACCTCACAGGACTCGAATTTGTCCAGTTCACGCAACGATTCATCGGCATCGGCCACAACGGCCAGCACCTCCACATTCCGTTTGTCGCGTTCGAGTGCCGGTAGCAGCACGCCGCTACCCTCAATAATAGGTGAGTGGGAGGGAGAAAGAGGAGAGGAGTGAGAGAAAAGATCGGAACCGACTTGAGTTTCCTTGCTTGTTTCAGCTCACAATGGCAAACAGCAGCACGATACGCTGAGTAAGCCGCGCCTGGTGCGCCAGGAGGCGGTGCAGGAGGAGGAGGACTCATCGCCGCCACGCCTTGGTGTACGCTTTCTGCCCACCATACCCTCCGCCGCGGACAGTTCGGTCATTATGGAGGACGGCGATTCGGCCAGTGCGGCAGCTGGCAATGCCCTATTGGGCATGCCGCAGCCAGGCGACTCGAGTGGATTTCTGGTAGCTCCACCGGCCCAGCTGCAGCCAGAGAAGCCGCCGCCCGCACCCAATGATGCGCCGCCATGACGGATGCCTGCCTTCTGGGGCAGCTGGAGACGCCGGCATGAGGAGACCTACTTGTAAACAGAAGGGGGAACAGAAAGCTCACTGTGTTCATAGATAGTAAAGCGCGGGGACAACGGGACAGATATTTTGGGGATGTGGGGCATAGTGTAATAACGGAACATGGCCATGTGATGCCGCCGAGGGCATCTGCTAACATTTATATACATAATCTTAAGTAGTCAATTTCTTTGGGTTCGAATCAAGGATTTCGTTAAAATACACATCCATACACACACACACATACAAGTATTATGTACTACATATATGTACATGTAATTTTTTATTTATTAACTAGTTTAGTTCTCGGTCGGTTAGGCTAGTTGAGCCCAGCATATTTAGTGTTTAGACTAGCATAGTTAATAGATGTCTATATTTCGATATGCGCCTAAAATATTTAGAAAATGCTAAGCATTTGTCGACATTACTTGAAGAACTTACTTGCAGATAGTTCTAT